TCTGCTCTTGCCCTGCCTGTGCTCTCATTCACCATCCCCCGCCGTGACGCGGTTTCCCTTCGAGAAATAAGACGTTGCTCTTGTTTGCGACCCGCAGCAGGATGTGCCGCCAGAAGAACGAAGGAAGAGCCAAACCTGGAGCGCGAAAGCGCTGAGCGGGGGGGAGGGCACGGAGTCGCGGCAGCGAAACGGGAAGGAAACGTTTGGGAGAGCCCTCGGTGGGAGGCAGCTCCCGAGAGCGAGACGGGGCCGGAAGGGGATAAACTCGTCCCTCACGGAGGAAACCAAAAGGTCCTCAAAGAATCCAAAGCCCAGTACAGAACCGCCGCCAGGGAGAAGAAGTACACGTGCAACGAGTGTGGAAGAAGCTTTGGACAGAGCTCCAACCTCATCGTGCATCGGCGGATCCACACCGGGGAGAAGCCTTATAAATGCCACGAATGCGGGAAGTGCTTCAGGCAGAGCTCAAACCTCATCGTCCACCAGAAGACTCACACGGGAGAAAAGCTCTACGAGTGCCCCAAGTGCCAGAAGTGCTTCCCAGACAGGTCGCTGCTCATCAGGCACAAGAGGGTCCACGTAGGAGAAAAACCTTTTAAATGCCAGCAGTGTGGGAAAAGCTTCATTCACCAATCGAGGCTTCTTGTCCACGAGAAGGTGCACGTGGGGGAACAACTCTACCAGTGTCCCGAGTGTGGGAAATGCTTCAGGGACAAAGCAAAGTTCCTCCAGCATCAGCGGCGGCACATGGGAGAGCGGCGCTACAAGTGCTACGAGTGCGGGGAGGAGTTTGGGCAGAGCTCGGACCTCAACCTCCACCAGAGGATCCACGTGGAGGAGAAGCTCTACCAGTGCTCCACGTGCGAGAAGTGCTTCAAGGACAGGTCCACCCTCATCAGGCACGAGACGGTGCACACGGGAGAGAAACCCTATAAATGCCACGAGTGCGGGAAGAGGTTCACCCGCAGCTCGGACATCATCGTCCATCAGCGGACGCACACGGGGGAGAAGCCCTTCCAGTGTCCCGAGTGCGGGAAGAGCTTCAGCCACCGGTCAAATCTTTTCCGACACCAGAGGATGCACACGGGGGAGAAGCCATATAAGTGCGAAGAGTGCGGGAAGCGCTTTGGGCAAAGCTCGGAGCTTATCGTCCACCAGCGGACCCACACCGGGGAGAAACCCTACCACTGCTCCGAGTGCGAGAAGTTCTTCAGGGGGAGGTCGACCCTCTTCAGGCACGAGAGGCTGCACACGGGGATCAAGCCGTACGAATGCAGCGAGTGCGGGAAAAGCTTCGGGCAGAGCGGGGACCTCATCGCACATCAGCGTTTCCATACGGGCGAGAAGCCCTACCAGTGCTCCCAGTGCCGAAAGTTCTTCAGCAACAGATCCAGCCTCGTGCGGCATCAGCGGCTGCACGCGGGAGAGAAGCCCTACAAGTGCCACGAGTGCGGGAAGAGCTTCGGGCAGAGCTCGGACCTCATCGCCCACCAGCGGACCCACACCGGGGAGAAGCCCTACCCCTGCCCGGCGTGCGGGAAGCGGTTCGGTAGGGAATCCAACCTTGCGGTGCCC